CTCAGAAAGCGTGAGTGCGGTGACGAGGCACGACGAGAGTATTCCCTCTGATGCGCGTATTATAAGTTTTTACATCACGTGACCAAATGAGTTTGTCAGCAAGATAAGGAGGTGTTTTATATTTTAATACCCCGAATAGGAGAGTTGCCATGTGCAGTTTTCGGCGATATTCCATTTTTAACATTTTGGCATTGTTAATGTAAGGTGTGACGTGCGTGCGGGGCGGTATTGTAAAACTAAATCTTGCACATGCATTTTGAACACGTTGCACTAGACGTCGCGACCGCGCTAAAAGTCTCGGGCCATATACAATGTCCATATAATTAAATTTCGAAAGGACAAGTGTGTCACACAATTTTACCCGAATATCAGAATTTAAAAACTCCCTTATTTGATAATGAACTTTAAGCCTATAAAAGCAGTTTCTGCTAGTACTTAGTATGTGGTTCTCAAACTGTAGTTTGTCATCCATTAGTAAGCCCAGATTGCGAATCTCATTTACACGTTCTACGATTTCCCCTCGAATTTGGATGCATGCCCCTCTTTCTGATAAATTTTTTATTTGATTTTTAGAACCCATAATTAGTAGTTTAGATTTAGTTCCGTTTAGTACAAGGCAGTTGGAGTCGCACCACGCGGCTATACCTTCGAGGTCTTCGTTGATTTTATTAACGACTTCTTGAGTATCACGCGGATTACATGACATGTAGACTTGCAAATCATCTGCGTATAAATGAAATTTACAGTGCTTAATGATTTTTACTAAGTCGGCACTGTAAACTGAAAACAATATTGGAGCCAGGTTCGATCCCTGGGGCGCACCGGCTTTGATTTTTTTTGATTGCGAACGTATTAATGTTCCTCGGTCATCGCTCAGTTCTACAGTTTGTAGTCGGTTTTTAAAATAACTAACGAACCTTTGTACTGCGCTGCTACTGAATCCATAGTAATGAAGCTTTGATAAGAGAAGGGAAACATTTATACAGTCAAATGCACGAGAAAAATCTAGTAATACTAGTATTGTGCCTTTTCCTTCATCTTGAGCGGTTAGTACATCGTCAGTAAGTTGGGCTAGGGCCGTCGTGGTGCTATGGTTCTTACGAAATCCCGACTGCATTTCCGGTAGAATTTTTTTTCTATCTAAATACATGTTTAGCTGTTCTGGGACAATTTTTTCAATAATTTTAGAGACACAGGGGAGAATACTGATGGGCCGAAGGTCTTTTTCAGGCAATGGATTTGAGTTCTTAGGTATGGGTTTGACTAACGCATGTTGCCATAATGTCGGATAGGTTTTAGAGTTAATGGATTTGTTCACCATAGCAGTATTAGTTGATAGTGTTTCCGGGAGGGTCATACGGATCATATCGAGAGAAATCCCATCAATGCCTATGGCTTTAGATTTTAAACTTTTAGTGAATTTTAGTACCTCTAGTTCATCTACCTCCTTTATCTCAAATATGTCCTTAACGCAGCAGTGGAACTCAAAGTACGTTAAATATGACAACGAGACGTTTCTATTTCCAGGCACGTTTAAAAAATAGTCGTTCCCCGGTCGAACCTTAAACCTATTACGCGAGATATTAATCTAAGTGGACTGTATCTACTAATGCTTCTACACTTGTATATGCGGTACAATGCACTCGCTCTTCCCAAAAAAAAAAACGAACTATTATTTGCCAAATCGATGAAAGGAATCCTGCTTGATTAGGAAAACACAAAATTGGAGCTGGTTAAAACAACTATATCAAGCAGGAAAATACTATTAAGAAAATGTTGACTCAACGGGATGTTTCTTCTATGCGGTCGAGCACTATAACTGCGACTTCTGGAACACTCCGGAGAGAGGCGGTGCGCGACTATATCTCACACGAGGTGAGGCGGGCTTCCTGGAGCTCGACTGCTTCCAGGCTAAAGCGGTTTCTATTAGCGATGTGGTTTCAACGACGAGCGCGGCGGGAAGAGGCCACGCGTCGGTCGCGCGTGTCTTATATATCCTCGGTTCCGATGATTACGTGATGTTCTAGAATCATCTTCTTTCCCCTCCCACCCCACCACCCCGATGTGTCGATAGGAGGGTACGAATGATATCGTTTTGGAAAGGGATAACCGATTTGGCAGCCTACCGTCAAATAAAATAAATACGAATGGTTTTCCGCGCAACCAGACACTATGTAACGTCAAAAAATTTAATAATTTCTGAAAGGGCACAGTGAAAAGGCTAACCTATTTGTGTTCGTTGCTGGGGTTAGTGATTACTAATTCATTTAAGAATCCTTTTCAGGTGAGACCTTCCTTGGTGTTTGATGCTGACCATTCCCCAGTAGAAAAGCTATAAAAATTTAAAAAGAGGGAAGTCACAAGGTACCATGAGGGACTGAGTGTCGAGCACTTGCAGCATGGGGGAGTACACCTGTATAGGGTGTTAGTACACAACATAAACACTCACGCCTGTCACCCAGAGATGATCCTGACAGACCCCTCTCACCTCCTCCACATCCATATACCTATGCATACATGCTCGTCGAGTAAGGGTACTCCTAATTTAGCCCATTTTCAATATATTGTCAATTTGGTCGATAAACTTTCGCCTAGGACGTCCCTTTCTGACTCTGCCGTTCACTTCTGCGACATAAATTTTCTTTGTCACTCTTTCCTACTTCATTCTTTCTAGATGACCAAACCACCGAAGCATTCCTTTCTTAATTCTGGTCACAACATCATCTTGCAAACCACACTCGTCTCTTATCACATAATTTCTCACCCTGTCATTCAGATTCAGCCCTAACATACTCCTTAACGACCGCATTTCTATTTTATTCTACTCTCGTGCTTCTTCTGCCACACCCAACTTTCACTACCATACGTTAAATTAGGCACCAACACAGCACTGTGAAATGCCATATGTGCCTTTTTGCCACATTCTGACTTTTCACGATTGAGTGTAGGGCCCCATTTACTCTATTTCCTGCGTTTACTCGTCGTTCTATATCCTTGTCATATCTCCCATCCTGGCTAAATATGCATCCTAAATATATTTAGATCCTAAATATATTATAGTTTGATATTTAGATCAAACAAGTAGATGAGTTTGTATACAAACTCATCTACTTGTTTGATCAACTATTCTTCCCCGTCTATTCTTATTTCACATATCGTTTTACTTTTTTCTATTTCAAAAACCATAACTTTCGTCTTACTTGCGAAACTTTTTACACGGCGAAAAAAACTCCGAATTGCCTAAATCTCCCTACCAGCGGGAAATATATCTTACATTAGTTCATACCCTGCAGTGAACTAATTGGGACTATTAACGAACAGTAAGAACTAGTTTCATTTGTTTCAAAATAATTTCATATTTTGCCTCCTTCACATCCATGTACCTCTCCTAATTTGCCCCGTTTTCAATAAATCGCTAATTTGGTCGATAAATTTTCGACTAGAACGTCGCTTTCCGACTCTGCCATTCACTTCCGCAACACAAATTTTCTTTGTCACTCTTTCCTCACGCATTCTTTCCACATGACCAAACCACCGAAGCATTCCTTTCTTAATCCTGGTCACACAACATCATCTTAAGTTTTTGATTTTTTTTTATTGTTTCAAACGATATAAAATGATCCGAAACATTTCCAGATCTCAGATTTCATTTCAGATTCACTACAATCATTTGCAAATCTTTTTGAACATTCAAATATATTTTATTATTTTTTAGAATATTTTAAATATTTTTGAAACGATTTAGAACGTTCTAGCGTGCGAGTGAGAGTGCGTTCTAAAATTATTTTTAAGAAAAATTAACTACAAATATAAATAAAAATCAAATTAATTTTAATATAATAAAACACACTGAACATTTCAATGTATTTTATAGCCTTCCTGATAATCTAAAAATATTTAGAATATTCTAGATCGCTAACAAATATTCTAAATTATAAGTTTTCTGAGTTTGTAAATATGATGAAATTTCTTAGAACATTCGTGGAATTTTGAGAACAATTTAAGACAATCTAAATCAACTACGATCACTCATTTTCATAGTTTTATTTTAAAAGTTGTTAAATATCCTAGAATATTCTAGAACATTCTAAAATATTCTGGATAATCTGAAAAATTTGTAAGTAGAAAAGTTCTCGATATAATCACGCACAAAGGTAATTTATGCCATTCAGCATAGTGTTGAGCTAATATGAGTCGTACAATGTGTTAGGAAAGGACGAGATACTTCTCTCATTACAAAATTTTGCCAGCCACCTCCACCCATTTCCACCCACAGCAACCAAACTCCTTTACTTGCAAGCGCACACGTGGGGCCTTATTCCACTGCAACCACAAGTGGGTGGCAGTGGGTGATCATTGGAGAAATGGCTGGACATACAGACGAACATTTTCCTTTTATATGATTGATTACCCTAAACTGAAGGTTTTTGTCTACTGATCGACCTTTACGAATGTGTACGTGCTGTAAATGTGTAAGTAAAATCAGTTAAATATTGCCACGCATTGTGAATTTAAAAGATAAAAAGAACAGAATGTTTGACATTTTTTTAATTAAATTTTCTTCGCCGGTTGTTGCAAAATAACTCTGTATAATAATTTATTTTATAAAGAATAAAAAATAAAACCTCTAGCCATTTGACTGTTGAGAAGATGATCGTTGGGTCAAAATTAACATTCACATGGTATAAGCAAGACAAGTTTGTTGTTTTTTGTGTGAAAACATAGAGAAAACTAATTTCCCATTAATGCGATCGATTTATCCCTTGTAAGTCATCATATATATATATATATATATATATATATATATATATATATATATATATTTTTCGGCTCTAACTTTGCTTTTATGAAATATTATAATATTTCATAAAAGCAAAGTTAAAGCCGTTTTCTAGAATTCCTTTTCAAATAAAACCCATAATAAACTTTCAATATGGCTTCTATTATCTGTATAACACGATCTTGTTCAGTTAATGCCTAAAAATGAAAAAAAAACTCACCATATCATCAGCAATTATTAGCACAATATTTGGGCGCATGGATTGGCTACTTCTAAAATCTTCTGCGTTGGAAATGATTAATATGTATGAAACCAGTGTAACAGCATATCCTGAAATCTCTTGAAATCGCATACTGAAAAAAATTTTCAACTAAGTATTTAGATGTTAAAATAACAGTTTTCCATGCCCCTTATTAGGCATATTGCGTAAACCCAAATGCACTTATTCTTACGTTTGTGAGATAAAAACGAGAGAATCTAGTAAAACCGAAAAGAAATAATTTTATGCAAAAACCAGTAAATTTAAAATTTAAACTCAAAACCTAACAGCAGTCTAAAACTACTGATCAACGACCCAGTTTTTAACCAGTCATTAATTAAGATTTCACTTGACAATGATATATAATATAATAATATAATACTGCAATCATTTTCAATGAACTAACTACACTGCATAATTTGCATTGAGCTAGTTTTGACAAGCACTTACGCAAATACTACCATGATACATGATTCAATGTCTCATATTATCATCGGTGAAGGACAAAGATAAGCTGTTATGTAAATCAAACATCAAACATAATTTATCTCTGTTTCGATTTCAATAAAAATTTATTTTTTGTCTTACTCAAGATTGAGTTCTCCGTTTTGACGGCTATGATTACTCGGCTTTTACGGCCTGCAATGGTACACAGCCGTCGACGGCTGTCTCTAATGCTGCACTAGTTGGTCTTTTTTTCATACTAACGTAAAAGTGTGATTACTACACTGCTTGATGATGTACGTCCATAACAAAGCATGATATATTTTTAATTGAATAAGGACGACAAACGAGCACACAGTCCACCTATGACAACGAGTACATAGTAAGTGGATGATGTGGTCATCATCATGGACAACTTCATTAATTCTCTATTGAGAATCAAAATGATTCCCATGTATTGTGAATCAAAATGATTCTCAATCATGTTTTGTCACAGATGCATTGTCACTTATGAGAACTATAATAGAATGCCTCGTTTCCAGTAAAAAAGAACTGCAATTCTTTATGATGACCATACAAAACACTGCAGCATTAAGCTGCTTTTTTACTCTGGCATTCTGGTATTCTGAGGGTGTGGTCATTAATTCGTACTACAACCATAATAAAGCTGCAGCTTGGGTCTGAAAACCACGTATAAAAATCTATAATTAAATCTTAGATTTGGAGGCGAAGTAAGAAGTAAGAACATCGGCGACAATGGGAGAGGCATGCTCGCATATTGCCACACCATTTACTTGTCTGTAGAAATTATCCTTCCACAATAAATAGCCGGTCGTGGGGCAATGTCAGAGTAATACTTCTTGTACTATTATCTATTCTGTGGTAATACTGTATATTCTAGGGCAGGCATGGCGAACCGATGGCACGTGACACAATATTTTGGGCAAGCCGTCAAGCACAAAGTCCACTACGTAGTATTATATTACAAACGAACGCGAGTGATCCGAGTTATATCGTGGACTACTATTGCTAATGATGTATAGTTTGTTTCATCATCATCATCATCATTACAGCCCTTCACAAGTCAACGCCTCTCCCAAGGAATGCATAGTTCGTTTACGCATAGCCAAATAGTCAATTTTGTTGACACAACTGTAGTTAATTGTTGATTTGTGTTATATTTAGGATTTTAGAACCCCAATATAAGGTATTTGTCATGTCATTTGCAACAACAGAAGTGAGACTAATGTTGTTTTAATTTGAATTACGCGTATAACTAAAATATTATTATACATTGCAAAATGTATTATGTAATAATAAATGTCTCTGTTCATAACTCCTTATTAATTTTATGTAGTAAATAAAGAGTTTTGAGTCGATAGTATTTAGTACTATTATTTTCCCAATAATCACAAAGTCAAAATTATTTTACGGCACGTCTATTACCTAATTTTAAACTTTTCATTTCAGAAAAATGGCACGTTGATTCATAAAGGTTCGTTAGCCCTGTTCTAGGGGCATGTTGTTTTCATTATATTGTTACGAGCTTGAGGTTCGTGACAATAATTGCCGATAAAATTACCTAAATTAACACTTTAATTTACTTTACAGAAATTAAAACTTAAAACACTAATAATTAAACACACTAATTCACTTTATTTCGCTCCGAAGCTTCGCTTGTCTCGCCAAATCAACACTTCCCCGATCGCATCTTGCAGCGTCTATATATACAAATTAGCAATGAAGCATCCGGAATATTCAAGTAAATGCGCGCAAAGCGACGAGTGTTCGAGTGCAGATTTTCTAGAAACTTAGTTCTTCGGTTTGAGACTAGATGGTGCTGTCGGTTGAAAGATTTGTGATGTAATTTTCTGAAAAGCTCTCCTCGCTCTCCCTGACACTAGATGGCGCTAGTGTATGACGTTGACTTATTCACGCAACACTGCCCCCTCCTAAGACATGGTCGTCCCGAGCATTATCGGCCCCATAATATCGCGCCAGGCGATCCACATGGACGATCTTAGGAGTCCCTCTTGCGCCTTTCTGTAACGGCTCCGCAATGTCAAGGGCTGTCCTATCCCATGATGCACCAACATTGTACAATTTCGGTGCTCCTCTACTACGTGTCTGAGGTCCCCGCACGGTCGCACAACTTGTACATGTACGACACCAAGCCTCGACATCGTCACGATAATGGACCCAGTAAAACTGTTCTCGGACCTTCAGTAGAGTTCGTTTAACTCCCAGATGGACTCTTGAACGACTATTATGGCACAGCTGTAGAACATTCGGCACTTTAGCTTTAGGGACAACCATTTGCAAACACAGCTGTCTCTTCGACCATTGTCCCATTTACGGCACAGGACTCCATCCTGAAGCAGCAAGCTGTCCCATTAGACCCAATAGCTTTTCGTGGTTGATCTCATCGCTGAGACGTCCCTCCACTTAGGCTTGGTAGCACGGGTCTTCATCCATCCCAGAATCGGCTTGATGTCCGGATCTTCCTGCTGTGCATGTCGTAGGCTGTCCTTCCACCCGTTCCTGAGGTGGTCTGTCCTGAGCATCCTCACGGATACCACTTCCTTACTCTCTTGCCTACTACAATGGTTACAATATTCAGGACAAGGTCTTCTTGACAATGCATCTGCGTTGCCGTGAGATTTCCCGCTGCAGTGTCTGATAGTAAAGTCGTATTCCTGCTGCTGATGGGTGGTGCTGTTAGCCGCACTTCCTTTCTGAGACCGTTCACCTTCCCTTCCTAGGGTGTGCTTAGGGCAGCTGGACCGAAGATGGCCCCTTTCCCCACAGCCATAGCATCTAGGGCTGTATCGTTTATTGTGGTCGCGAACTGCTGCAACCTCCCTAGCGTGAGGTGAACGATGATCCTGTCGCCGCCAGGCAGTGCCGTTAGCTGCACTACCCTCCTGATATCGTTCACTTTCCCTTTCTGCGGTTCGCTTAGGGCAGCTGGATCGAAGATGGCCCCTTTCCCCCACAGCCATAGCACCTTGGGCTGTATCCTTTGTTGCGGTCGCGAACTGTAGCTGCTGCAACCTCCCTGACGCGATGGGAACGATGATCCTGCCGCACGGCTTCCACTTCCAGTGCATGGGCCAAGGCGCCCTTAAGCGTCTCGTGGTGCCCGAGCCTCACAGCAGCTCTGACTTCCAGGTCGCGGATGCCGTCGATGGATGTCTGAACCAGGTTCCCTTCAATGAGTGCAGGTACAGACCGGTATGCTTTTGCACCATCTTCTCCACTTCTAGAGCCCACTGCTGCAGGTTTTCGTTGATGCGCTGCACGCGATCTTTAAGCTGCGCACGAAAGACGTGTTCCAGGTGAGCGTCGCCATATCTCGCCTCCAATGCCTCAAGGAGTTGCTCATAAGTCACTTCCTCACCGAGAGCTTCCAGAACTGTTAAGGCCTGGTCACGCAGGTCTAGTGTGAGAGCAGTCATGGCCTGATTTTTATTCCAGCCGTTCGCCTTCATAACAGCTTTGAACTGGATTTTGTAGGCTGACCAGGAAGAAGTCCCGTCGAATGGTGGCACCTTGAACCCACGTAGCGAAGGTGTAGTAGCTACTACGGGAGCTGTAGTTCCCTCCCCAAATTTGAGTTCGTCCAGCGTTTTCTTCACGTCAGCCATTACGTTGTCAACCCGATTGTTTACTTGGTCGATTCGGGTTTCAGCTTCCGACAGGCGGTTGTCATGTTGAGCAACCTTATCCTTCACCTCCTGTATCTCTTTTTTTTTTTTTTTTTTATAGGATAGGGTGACAAACGAGCACACAGTCCACCTGATGTTAAGTGGTTGCTGTGGCCCATAGACATCTACATCTATCCTCGATTACAAATCAAAATGCAGATGCGCTGCCACCCGCGAGGACTAAGATGGAATGCCTCGTTTCCAGTAAAAAGGGTCTCCGGTTCTCTACACTCACCATACGAAATACAGCAGCATTAAGCTACTATTTCACGCTGGTATTCTGTGAGAGCGTGGTCCTTCCCCGGTCGAGCCGACCCATTCGTGCAACAGCTATACTACTAATATAACTGCAGCATGGCTCTACCACGTATATAAAAGGTACGAAGGTAGCGTGAAGGTCTTTCATAAGGAGCATCTGCTCTTCCTTATCGCGTTGGAGTTGCTCTTCTAAACGACGGGCCTGTTCCTCCTGCCGGCGGGCGTGTTCCTCCTGCCGGCGGGCCTGTTCCTCCTGTCCGCCCCGCAGTTGCTCTTCCAATCGGCGGGCCTATTCCTCCTGTCCGCGCTGCAGCTGCTGCACCATCACCATCAGAGCACCTAAGTCAGGTGCCACAGACGTAGAAGCTGCTGACGGGCCGGCTTCCGTGGCCGACGGCTGGCCCTCAGACATCTGCGGCGTTGCACCACCAAATCTCCTCTGGTCCGTCTCCTGCTGGCGTTGACTTCGGGTACGGACACCCTCCATCTCGTCCTTAGGTAAATCGGCATGATTTTATCCCACTTCTGACACCAATTGTTACGAGCTTGAGGTTCGTGACAATAAAAATTGCCGATAAAATTACCTAAATTAACACCTTAATTTACTTTACACAAATTAAAACTTAAAACACTAATAATTAAACACACTAATTCACTTTATTCCGCTCCGAATCTTCGCTTGTCC